CGCCACGCGCCGCCGCTCTCGAATCAGTGTCCTGTTGCCGCTGCCTCTCGCGAGTCGACGGGGAAAGGGCAGCCCTTCGCAAGCGGTCCCTCTGCCGACCGTTCTGCCGACCGTTCTGCCTGGCAACAGCAGCAGCAGCAGCAGCAGCAGACTCAGGAGCGGTTGTTGCCCTTTCCCCTACTCTCCCTCCTCTCCCTCGCTCTCCATCCCTGCCCCGAGACCGCCCCCTGCCTCTTCCCCTCTGTCCTCTTCCCCGCCCACGGGTACGGCCCCGCCCCCGGGAACGCCCGGGCAAATTTCCTGGATGATCGGTCAGGATAACAGAAGACATCCGGCTACGACCGCTTCTGCGTGGGCCATTTTCTCCCACAGCAGTAAGTGAGCTTGTTGTGGGCGACGATCGAAGGAGTCCAACATGGAGTACCGCAGGGGGGTGGAGGAGTTGGAAACTAGCATAGTACATACGCAAAAGTTTTTAAAGATTACATTTGACATGAAATTAGACTGCAGTGGTGCAGAGGCCGCATGTTTTGTTTTTCGTGCAGCGGAGAACACACACACTGTCTGTCGTGCAGCAGAGAACACACACACTGTTTCGTGGCGTCGCGTATTGGTAAAGCAGTATAGTCGAGCTCGCGAGATCGGAGCGCGAATATTACAACAACAGTAAGATCGGTCCAGGGGGTGTGGTATATTGCAACAGTAAGATCGGTCCAGGGGGTGTGGTACATTACGCAATACGACAGTTGGACAGCAGTAGGTCGGATTGAGAAAGGTCGGATCACGGGCCGAAGCAGGCGCACATTGCAAGTCTCGGCCGAAGCAAGCGCACATTGCAAGTCTCGGCGTGTTGCTATGGTATATACAGACTACAGCAGCAGAAGGTGTCGCGATGGTGTCCAGCAGTCGTACAGCAGTATCGGCGTGATGCTGTGGAAGTCAGCAGTATCAAATCTACAGACAGACTTCTTTTTTTGTGGAGAGCCGGATGAAGACAGCAACGCCAACAGAACGCAACGACACATACGCGGGGATTCACATTGGATAGCATAGCACAACGTAACAACGTGTGAGACAAACGTGTGAGATACAAATTGGATAGCGTTCGCAGTCGTCAACATACCTATTGTCGTCGGCCATGATGGAGTCTAGGAACGAGCGTGATGTGTTACTGGTTCCGTGCTGTGATGTATGTGTGCCTCTCTCAAGACAGAGCAGAGGCCGCTCCCTCCCGCCGCGTCGCAACACAA